AACCAAGAGATCCAAGTTTCATTTTAGGATAATGACTTAAAATAATCTTAAATTTCAAACAATCTAGACTATTGCACAAGAAGAGGTAAATTCAGTTTTTTATTAAGAGCATGATTTCCACATTATGCCACAATATCCATATGAGGTTAAGTATTACAGTTACTTTAACATATAGAAAGATGTTTCTGAACTTATAAATCAAAAGCTAAAAACATACCATCTCCCTCGATTAGGCTACAAAGTTTTTGATTTTTAGTCTCATAAAATAAGTTAAGAAAGCCATCACTGCCTGAAAACAAGCCCTCAATTTTGTTCTCCCTTCCAATCCTAGCAGTAAAAATCCTACAAAATGAACCTTTTTGCGACTCAATAATAAAAAAAAGAGAAGAAAAACATGCTCTCAAACAAATGTATAATATAAATGCAGATTTTCAGCAATATAAATATATCCTGGTGATACCAATACACAGCCAGCATTATCTGTTTTTAACCCAAGTACAGTCATGCGTCACATAACGACAGGGACACATTCTGAGAAATGCATCGTTAGGCAATTTCGTCACTGTGTGAACACAATAGAGTGTACTTACACAAAACTAGATGGTATAGCCTACTACACACCTAGACTAGATGGCACTAATCTTATGGGACCACCGTGGTATATTCCGTCCATCGTTAACTAAAATCTCATTATGTGGCGTGCGACTGTACAAGGCTAAGATATGCTGCATAAGAATTTTTCAGATGGACTTCCTAAACAAATAATATTATTGAAACTGTAACTTTTATTACACTTCCTAATATAAAAAAAGCTATAAAACACACTTCAAATTCTTGAAAATAATTAAATCATAAGTCTGAGCAATTTATGAAAGGCATATTATCACCAAAATGTTTAAGGGGAAAGCAAATTCTTACAAACATATCACTTATTATTTTCAACTATAAAAAATGTTTACACTCTGTTTTCATTCTGGGGGTTTTTATTATACTGGTAGAAGTGAGAATATCATCAACGCAGATCAAATCGGGCATTATGCCTTCTTTTATCTTGACTGTCCCTTGTTGCAAAGCACAATAAAAATCTACATATTTTTTAAATACTTTCAAAATAGCCATAATGCAAGAATGATTTTTATTTAATTTTGAATAGACCCTACAAAAAGGTTTTTGAAGAGGATGTCAGTCAGCTGATCCTACCCATTTATCTTCTGATCAACTAGATATCTGTTTTTCATATCAAAATTTTTTTTAAAAATCGTTATTGAGATGTAGGTCTCTGTTTCCTACCTGTTGTGCCCCCAACTCATCTTCACTCTGAGCCAGCATTCTCGAAGAAATACAAAGAGCAAATGCAAGGCAGGTTACCCATAGCCAAATTTTGGTGGCATCATGTGGCAAAGAGCAAGTTGCCACAGGGTTTATTCTCAGACTCTTCAGGGATAAAGCAGGGAAAGGCTGGAGGAGATTGTTCCAAATGCAGTTTCAGAACAGGCTGGGCACAATCAGGAAGACGTATGGCCAGCTGAGGAGCTACCTCTAGGTAACATTTTGCAGCAAGGGGGTTGAAAAATAGGAAGTAGACAGGAAACCTTTAGTTTATGTGAGAGAGGGATCAGGACTGTTGTGGTTGAAAAGGAAAGTACCAGCCAGAAATAAAATAAAGCCCCTGTCTGAGACGGATATTTGGATAAAGGCAGAAGAACAGAATCTTGGAAGGAACAGCAGGGACAGCAGGGCCTCCAAAACTGCAATGATGCCCTTCCCTGCCTCTTGTGTTCTCACTTTTTTTACTCATCTTTCTGTTGACACTTTTATTTTCTCTCTCCCTCTTTTGTTTTTACTGAACAAAGTGAGAAATTATAGCATATTTTTGTCATTTTACTTTTGAATTTCTCTCTCTCTCAAAAAAAAAGGCCCCCTCCAACACCTTACCATAATTAGTTATAAGTTTCTCTTCAGGTATGCCTCATAATTGCTTCAATTTTTGGCTTAACAGCTCTTGAGTAAAGAATCTACACCAACAATTTAATTACAGTAAAGAAAAACTCACAATTAATAAATTCCTACAGGGCCAGCCCTGTGGCTCAGTAGCAGTTAAGTGCGCGCTCTCTGCTACTAGCGGCCAGGGTTCGGATCCCAGGTGCGCACCAACACACCGCTTCTCCGGCCATGCTGAGGACGCATCCCACATAAAGCAACTAGAAGGACGTGCAACTATGACATAGAACTATCTACTGGGGCTTTGAGGAAAAAAAGGAGGAGGATTGGCAATAGATGTTAGCTCAGAGCCGGTCTTCCTCAGCAAAAAGAGGAGGATTAGCATGGATGTTAGCTCAGGGCTGATCTTCCTCACAAAATAAATAAATAAATAAATGAATTCCTACAGCTAATATATTTCCATATAACTCCCATGACCTCTGACTGAATAGTTCAGCACAAAACTAAACATAGCTTGAATACAACTGAAAAACTTTTTGCTGATAAAAATTCATCTGCCAATGTGAAAGTCATTACCTGTCCAAAAGGCACAAAAGGAGGTGGTCCACCTTCCGTTCCAATATTGCTTCTATTGTGTTTTGACAAGCTCTGTGAGAAAAGTGAGTCATAAAACAGAAATTATACATTAAAAATATATTTACGATGCATCAGGAATCTACTTTTTTAGTAGATTCTTGTAAGAAAAAGGAAAAAGTCTTCTATAAATTATCTTGAACAATATAAAATATTTTATTCCTAACTGCAATAATTAGGCAAACGTTCTCCCCTCATCTCCCCATAACAAAACACACATTCACATACAATTTTCAGAAGTATTTACCAAGCTGCTCCCATAAGAAGAAAACATAGTAAAAAACCTCCTCAACAAGTAGTAAATTAAAAGATAACAAACTTTGGTAACAAGAATTTTACTTTAAAATATATTAAAACTATAATCTGACAAATATTACCTGGAAATTATCTTCAAAATGATTTTTTAGACACAAAATCTATTAGCAAACACACTTGTGATATTGCAATATAATAAGAAATATATATTTGCTCTTTGTCCCCAGTTCCAGGAACAGAGCTCCTAAAACTCTTGGAATTTCCTGAGTGATAGGAGTGAGAGGAGCATCTTTTGTTATTCATAATAAACTCCTTTGACCACACCTGAGTTTATGCTAATGAGGCGACTATTAACGGAGCCCTAGAGAGCTCCAGGATGGGGGCTGGTTGCCAGAGGAACTAACCATGTGATTAGAGGGCTGGAGATTGAGCTAATCACCAATCGCCAAAGTTTTAATCAATCATGTCTATTAATAAACCTCCATAAAAACCCTAAACAATGGGTTCAAAGAGCTTCCAGGTTGGTGAACACCTCTATGTTCCAAGAGGGTGATGCACACCAAAACTCCACAGGGACAGAAGCTCCTGTGCTCCTGACTCTTCCAGATCTTGCCCTACATACCTCTTCATTGAGCTATTCACTTGTATAATATCCTTTTCACTTTTATAATATCCTTTATAATAAACCAGTAATAGTAAGTTAAAGTGTTTCCCTGAGTTCTGTGAGCCATTATAACAAATTATCGAATCTGAGCAGGGGGTCGTGGGAACCCCTAATTTGTAGCCAAGTTGGACAGAAGTGTGGGTAAACTGGAAGCCTGCTACTTGCGACTGGCATCCGAAGTGCGGGCAATCTTGTGAGACGGAGTCCTTAACCTGTGGGGTCTGTGATAACTCCAGGTAGTTAGTGTCAGAATTGAATTAAACTTTAGGACACCTAGTTGGTGTCCACAGAGAACTGGAGAATTGCTTGGTGTGGAAAACCCACACATTTGGTGTCAGAAGCGTTGTGACTAGAAACAGTTCATAGGAATACTGATAAAGGTGATTACTAATTATTTTAAGAGATTAGATTGTTAGAATTTATAATATGGAGGTTACTTTCAATTACAGTAAAATTTCCTTAATAAAAGTCTTGTTTTGCAAATCAATTTACACTTGGAAGAAGTAATCAACCAACTGATTGCTCTTTAATAAAAATTAGCTTCCAAACCCCACTAATTTTAGTTTTCTTTTTCCCTAACTCTCATATTTAGGATTAGAGAGATAACAATGCATTATGGAAATGGAAAAAAAAATCCTCCTAGCAAAAGTAATTTCTCACATTACAAAGTCCTGGGAAAATGCCATAAGGAATCTTCAGAACAACTCCTTTCAGTCATCTATTCCTATTTGTTTTGTTTTTGACATGTTAACATATATGTTAAGCACTAGCTGTCATTTAATCTATCTTCTCAACTTTAAACTTTTTTGTGTATTTTTAATAATTATTATTTCAGAAAATGTTATGTTTAAAATATGATGTAAAATAGTGAGTGAAAAATAAGTTTAAAAAAAATCACCATGTGCACTTTCAAACATACTTAAGAGTTTCTGCATTATGTAAAGAATACTATGTATTTTATGTAAGTTATATAAAGAACATTAAGACTAAAGACAACAATAATATTCAGTTTACTAAGCAAAGAATAATTTAAACTGTATATGATGGCTGCATTTCTTTACAAGCTGTATTTAAGATGTTAACCTATTTTTTTTTTTTTAAACAGCAAATGCATAAAATTATCTAGGGGGGCTTTCCTCAGTTTTAATTTAGATATAGAAAAAAGATTATTTAAACAACAATAAATCATTTCAATTTATACTGTAACTTCCTTAAAAAGTTCACATAAGCTGCCAATAATACCATCTCTCGATACACAATATATAATTAAAAACATATTACAGAATTTCTACTTTCCATCCCAATGAATGTACAAGAGTCAGACAATCTCCCTCTACAAACAACTGGGAATATGGACAAGATGTAAGAAACAACTGTTTTAAGACTTAGGACAATAAGTAGTACAAGACTATAATTCCCGAGGGAAAGAGAGAAAAACCAGGTGAGCTCTGCCTTTTTGCTTGGAGGCATGATGCAGACAGAGAGCACAGAGACTGAGATGAGAAAATCAATCTCATAGTTCAAGCAGGCTGATGCAACTGGAAGTTGTGGGGCAGAGTTTCAGACAAGAGGGACCTATACAGAAAAAAAGATCTAGAAACCTGCATAGGAACTCCCTTAAGTCATTGCTGAGAACTAGGCTGAGCAAAAAACAACTACAAGTTGTAAGCTTCCATTTCTAATAGCATCGAAAAGTATAAAATACTTAGGGATAAACTTAAGCAAAGAAGCAGAATATCTGTTCACTAAAAATTATAAAAGATTGCTAGAAGAAATTAAAGAAGACACCAATAAATGAAAAGACATCTTATAGTCAAAGGTTGGAAGATTTAATATTTTTAAGATGTCAATACTACTCAAAGTGGTCTAGAGATTCAAAACAATCCCTATCAAAATCCCAAGAATGTTTTTTGCAGAAATAGAAAAATCCATCCTAAAATTCATGTGGAATCCCTTAAGATTCCACATGAATAACAAAGACAATCCTGAAAAAAGCCGCATGCTTCTGGATTACTTACTTAAGTAAGTACTTACTTACTTACTACAAAGTTACACTAATTAAAACAGTGTGGTACTGGCATAAAGACAGACATAGACCAACAGAATAAAAGAGAAAACTCAGAAATAAACCCTCGCATATGTGGTCATATGATTTTTGATGAGGGTGACCAGACCATTCATTAGGGAAAGAAGAATCTTTTCAACAAATGATGCTGGGAAAACTGGATATCTACATGCAAAAGAATGAAGTTGGACCCTTAACTTACACTATATACAAAAATTCACTCAAAATAGATCAAAGACCTAAATTTAAGAGCTCAACCCATAAAACTTCTAGAGGAAAACATAGAGAAAAAGCTACATGACATCGGATTTGGCAATGATTTGTTGGATATGACACCAAAAGCACAGGCAACAAAAGAAAAAAACAGATAAAATGGAACTTCATCAAAATTAAAAATTTTTGTGCATTAAAGGACCCTATCAACCCATGGAATGTGAAAAAATATTTGCAAATCATATATCTGATACGAAATTGATATCCAGAATATATCAAGAACTCATATAACAAAAAACAAACTGATTACAAAATGGGCAAAGGACTTAGACATTTCACCAAAGAAGATATACAAATGGCCCATAAGCATATGAAAAGATGATAAACATCACAAAGTATTAGGGAAATGCAAATCAAAATCACAATGAGATCCCACTTCACACCTACTAGGATGATTATTATTAAAAAAACATAAAATAACTAAGGGCAGGTGGGAATGTGGAGAAACTGGATCCCCTGTGCATTGCTGATGGGAATATAAAATGGTACAGCCACTGTGGAAAACAATATAGCAGTTACTCAAAAAGTTAAACAGAATTACCCTATAATCCAGCACTTCTACTTTCGGGTATATACCCAAAATAATTGAAAGCAAGAACTTGAACAGATATTTGGACATTCATGTTCATAATAGCACTGTGTACAATAGCCAAAAGGCAGAAACAACTCTAACATCCATCAGTGAAGGAATGAACAAAATGTGATATATATATACACACAATAGAATATTATTCATCCTTAAAAAGTTAGGAAATTCTAACACATGCTACAATATGGATGAACCTTGAAGACATTATGCTAAGTGAAATAAGCCAGACACAAAAGGACAAATATTACATGAGTCGCCACCAAATTCATAGAGATAGGAAATAGAATCGTGGTTGCCAGAGATTGGGAGAAAGTGAGGAGTGGGAAGTTATTGTTTAATGGGTACAGAGTTTCAGTTGGGAAGATAAAAAATTCTGGAGATGGATGGTTGTGCAACAATATGAATGTACTGAATGTCATTGGATTTTACACTTAAAAATGGTTAAAATGTTAATTTTTATGTTATGTATACTTTACCACAATAAAAAAAAAAAAGAAATTAAAGAAAAAAAGGATCTGTCATGGGGGGGCACTAAAATGTTACAGAACTACATTACTTTACAAATTACTTCTTTTCTTTACCTGTCTGTAACCAACTTGCTATAGCTTCAACACCTGCACACGGTTTAAAAATTGCCCAATGTTCTCTTCCCCTATTTATTTTACAAAAATGTTTAGGGCTACCTTTCTTCCAAAATTAACTCTATAGTTTATGATTTCTATGTATGTATTTGATTTCTATGTTCACCACCTGCCAGATGCTCAAGAAATTGAACTCTCCTTGGTTTCTACATTGCTATGGTTACCAAATCAAAAAACTGTAAAACCAAAGAGAACTATAATCATCTTAAGATGTTTTGAAACTCTTTTTAATGTAAATTTTTATTGCCCTCTAACAAGAAATACTAACATGGCTTTCGGAAACACAGTGCAAAGATATATAATAAAACATTACAAGAACAACTATCAAACTACTACTAATCTCTACTACTTACTAACGTGTGTGTACGTTGCAGGTGAGGAGGTTCCTGGGAATGCATGACTGACTTTACCCTTAGTAACGCAGTTCTGGCTGGGTTGGGAAAATTACATAAGGTGTTGGTCTGACTTGAGGACATCTTACTACACTTTAAAAAAATCTCTAATAAGGCCGGCCCCGTGGCTTGGCGGTTAAGTGCGCGCGCTCCGCTACTGGCGTGGATTCCGGTTCAGATCCCGGACGCGCACAAATGCACTATTTTTCCGACCATGCTGAGGCCGCGTCCCACATACAGCAACTAGAAGGATGTGCAACTATGACATACAACTATCTACTGGGGGGCTTTGGGGGGAAAAAAAAAAAAAGGAGGAGGATTGGCAATGGGTGTTAGCTCAGAGCCAGTCTTCCTCAGCAAAAAGAGGAGGATTAGCAAGGATGTTAGCTCAGGGCTGATCTTCATCACAAAAAAAAAAAAAAAGAATAAAAAAATCTCTAATAATAATAAAAATATAATATATCAACTTGTGAAAGGAAAGGATCACATGAAATAGATGGAATTTCTCTGGGAAATTCAAAGTTCATAAACTTGGCTATTTATATTTACATAAAACTATCAAACCACTTGCGAATTACTTGCTTTTGTAAGATTTTCAACTAAACAAGGCAGTTATGGAACATTATCTTATATTGCATAGGACAGCAGCCCAAAGTGTAGCACATTAGTATCATAAGAAATAAATGACAGTACTAAGGAATAAAAGATGAGCCAAAATCTCCTTATCTATTTATCTCCCAAACACAGGCAATTTCAAACTAAGAAAATAGAAAGAGTAATGTATCATAAAATACCAAAACCTTGAAATATTGCTAGGCCATTTGGCTCACTTTAGACAACAGACAAGATTTGAGGGTGGCACAAAAACATCAATTTTAGCTCAAAGAGTAATTAGCTTTATGTGCTTTGTACTTCATTCGTTTCACAATTAATTGTTACGATGTTTATTACATGTAAGACTCATGTAATCTGGAGATACAGGAAGGCTCAGATTCATCACCTATTAGCTGTCTAATCATAAAATAAGTTATTTAACAGTTCTTAAAATCCATTTTCTGATCTATATGGGCATAATACTCCCTTACAAGTCTGCTAGGAGGATTACATGATATACAGACGTAAGAGCTAAGCATAATACCTATACACTGTTCAACAAATATTCATAGAACTGAACAAAGATGACACGAACAAGAGTTCTGACCTCAAGAAGCTTACAATCTATTAAAAGAGATAAGAAATAAATAGAATTTCAGTGCTAGATAAAAAGTAATATGCTTAATACAGATAAAATGTTCTAAGAATTCAATAAAGCGACAATTATTTCACTTTGTGAAGAAGCAAGCATTTGATCTGAGTCTAAAAGCATGGGGACAATTTGGCCATTCAGGTATTAGGAAAGAGAAAACAAGATAAATGGCACAAAAGTGGAAAAATCTTTTTTTTCCCCTGAAGTATAACTGAGGAAAGCATAGAAAATCAAAGAAAGAGTCAGTAGTTCCATTTGGCTAAAATAAAATCTTTGTGAAAAAATTAAGAAAGTTGAAAAAGTGAAAAAAAAAAAGTTGAAACTGGAACTAGGACTAGATTCTAAACGGCCCTGTATCCCAAATTAAGGCATTTGAAATAAAAGCAGCATATGACGTGTTCTGAGTTATGCTGAAGGAAAATAATCTGACAGAACTACATAAAATAAATGAGAAGACAGAGAAAGGATATGTGGAGAAACTCGTTAAAATGCTACTGCAAGTAGTCCAGGCAAGAGATACTCAAGACTTAAATGATAGTAACAAGAAGGGAACTGGAGAGCAGGAACTGATATGAGATTTGACTACAGTGGATCAATAGAATTGGTTGCTGGAAGCAAAGTAGAGGAAAGATTGCTAGATAACCCAGATGAGTAGCAGGATGAAGATGTTAACATAAAAGGGGGGAAAACATCAACTAAGGTGACTAGGAAGACAAATGCAACAAGAACCCCTTCATTACAGTGAAATTCCAATTTGCTTTCACTTGTATGTATGTGTGTATGTAGATGAGACAAATGTACAAACATTATAATTCATATATATGCACAAACACTTGTTCTTTGCAGAAAGAATTAAACACAGATAGATTACACATAGTTTATAACTGGTATCTTGGCAGTTTCGATAACTTGTCAGTAAAGAATAACTTTTTAAAACATGAAATAAAATGTATCAAATACTGAAGAATGACACCTCCTTTGCAGGAACAATATGCTTAAATAAAGGTACATAGTGTCTGTAAAGATCACTGTGTTCCATTCTATTCAGTTCTGACACAAAGGACTAATTTTACTATTCATTATGGGAAGATCTTAAAAGAGAGAATGCAATAAAAATAGTGTAGTGTTTTAAAAGTTCAAGCTATTCTTGTTAGTTTACACTTACTCTCTGTAACTCCCATTTCTCAATAAGGTGTTCCACTTCACCGCCAAGAACTGTGGTATTAGAGTCATTCAAGAGCAGGAATCCATTTTTTATGTCCACAATGCCTGAGAGCTTAACTTTAGTTCCAGGTGGTGTGTTCAGGCTAAAGCAAAGAAAAAAAGAGTAAGACAAATTGAAGTTCCTCTTCAAAACTGGAATTCAGTGTCATACTATGACCTCATGAAATTCTTTAAAATGCACTAACATGAAAACTATTTTTCAGGAGACTGGCTATATAGTGTGAATAGATCACCAGGGAGGAAGTCAGAAGACCAGGTACAAGACTGTCATTTTCTACTTTAATGACAAAGAAATTAACTTCAGTTTCCACAGGTAAAAAAAAAATGTGGATAATAAAAATCACACCTCACAAATTTGTGGTAAAGATAAATACAGAATAAAAGATATAAAAGTACTTTCTCAACTATGCCATGCTGTATAAATGTAAGATTTGCCTTTTTTTCCCTCTGAGCTTTGACTGTGCATTGCAAAGATATACCGTGTTACAAAATTAAATTTCAATACAGAAAAGACATCAGACCAGTAATAATCCTAGATGTTTAACCTCTATATGAGCTACCGTAATACACACAAAATAATGCTCTTTTTTCTTAACCATCTAGTTAAAGATCAAATGAGAGTTACTTCTCTAAAGCACACTAACTGTAAAAGGATTTTTCTATAATGGATTAATATTATCAGATTTGGGGCACACATTACACCATGACCCCTTTTACAATAACCAGAGACAAGATGCTTATCCTCCTGTCAACCTGTTGGTAAAGGAAACAACCAAAGAAATCCATTTTATCATATAGGTTTATACTAAAGTAAAAGCACATATACCAAGCCCCACCCCATTTCTTCACACATACAGCAAGAGGTAAAGTACTCCAAAAAGGAATCAAGACTATCCTAAAACACTTAGGATAAATTAGAAAATCATACTGAAATGGCTTCACATTGTTCACATCTTAAAAGTTCATGAAATTCACCATGTGCTGATACACGGAACAGCAAATCAGTGAAAGCGTTTATATCACTGGTCTATTCTGAAGAAAGATGGTTGATACAACAGTTATTAACAAGAAGAAATAGAATATGCCTGTTTTTAAAGCTTCAAAGATCCCATACAGAGTAAGACATTATCTATTAAAAATTATTGAGGACCCCAAGCTTAATCATTCTTAGTCATCACCCATAACTTACAGAACAAATGGTCACGAACAGCCTCGCCAAACCTCATTCTCACAAAAGAATAAATAGGTACTAAAATTTTAATATAATTTTACTACATCACCTTTAGGACCATACCTAACTCTTATTCAGAGAGCATATTTTGGTTTAATTACTATTTTTATTGGCACCCCAAAGTATCTTTACTCTCTCTTCATTGCAATTTTGAAAAAACAAAACAAAACCACTGAGAAGTGGGGCAGGAGGTAGGATAGTAGCGTGGAAAGAAGCATCCCAGAGAAATGCAATGACCACTGCAGGCAACACATTCTCCACCAGCTCCTGGTTTATCCTGTCTAGTGAGTTCTTCTACCTTCCACCTAAGATAACCACTAACCAAACTTATTTTGAAAATAGTCTCCCAAATTGGTCACGTGTAAGAACAGTTCTATAAGCTGTTGTTATAGCACCCAAAGTAGACGTGCACTTCAATGATGAGTGAACGAGCAAGTGGCAATAATTTTTTTCAATTGTCAAACTGCAATAAATTCAACAAAAGAAGACAGTGGACAGTACAAGGGACCCTCCTCTCTGGGCTGATCCTGTGTTTTCATTTACCTCAGAGAAATAAACAGCAGTAAAATCAGAGAATGAGCCATTATATGGCAAGTCTTCCGTCTGCGTCACCTGTGAACTCCCTCGTAGGGGGTCTGACTGAATTTGTCAAAGGGGAAAAGGCTGTGTTTCTCCACAAAACTAGGAATCCTTCTACTCTTCAAAAAGAAGACAACAAAATCACAAGTCAATAAACCCCCTTTGTGTACAAAAATCAACATTTTAAACAAACATGTATCTTCTAAGGAAGGAGCCTCCCTCACCAGAGGCAGACACTGGTTGAAGAAAAAAAAAAAAAGAAGGGAAATTACCAAGCATGGCATACAAGGCCTCAACCTATCACATTTCCTCCCACATATCACCATCCCAAATCACCTAAGCTCGTACAAATGGAACTTCTCACTCATCTGTTGTCAGGACACTGTGTCTTTGCATGTGCTATTCCCCCACTAATCTCTCTCAAAACACCTACTCATATTTTAAGTCCCATTCCTGGCTCCCGCAGGTACAGGTAATTTTCTGAACTCCTAATCCTTTCAGTTGATAAATTTACTATAATAATTTCTACACTTATGTGCCTACCTTATTATCATACGAGCTACTTGGGGGCAAAATCTAAACTCTTTTACCTTTGTATCTCCAGCACTGGATAAAGGAGCTGGAACACAGTGGACGCTAAATGCTTGTTAAATGCTTGCTCAGGAGAGAAGTATGGTATAGGAGTTTATGTTGAAAGAAAAAGCTCAAAGGACCCAGAGCAGCAAACGTGAGCCTATAATATGACTAAGAAGAGAAAAAAAAGAGAGTCTGCAGATGCCCAATGAAAATTCCCACCTCAGAAAACAGAGCTCAAACTAACCTATCAAGGACACTGAGGATAAAGGAGACACTTTCTCTTCCTTCTTGTTGCTTTTCGCCATTCAAATAGGCACGACTCTAAAAGCCTCTCATAAACACAGCCAAAAGGATGTGGAAAATTCTTATGGAGTTCCTCCTCCTCCTAGAAAGTGGGGTGGCACACGAAACTCTCTAGCTTCAATCATTTCCTAAGAAAATTCATTCGCCTATAAACTTTTCAATGGAAACAGCCAACTGTCAAAGAACAAAACGTAACATACTCAAAGAAATTCAGTTTGTCCCGGTCAATTTTTGAATGACCTAAAATTTACTGACAAAATTGAAAAGATTACTTTTCATGCAAGAACACCTTAAATTTCTGTTTTTATAAGTAACATTGAAGCAAGCAGTAACTAACTTCATTCTTAACTATTTTTCTATAATGTATAAATACGAACTCTTCAATTTCTTCTGAAAAATTGTAACATGCACTTAAGAGTTCATTCCTTCTTTTCCAAGTCCTTAAAACAAAATCCATTTTGAATAGCACCTTCAAACACTCTGTAACAAATATACAAAATAAAGTGCCAATCACCTTATCTTTGACATATAACTATATTCTACTGCTGTGCAACTTATGTGCCCATCAGTCATCTGCAAACGCAGCATTCTTGGTGCAGCCTGAGATTCTTCGTTATCCTTTGGTGCAGCAACATTGCGAATTTTTTGAATTTGCAAAACACATGGACCTTCAAGCTGTCAAAATACAAAGGAATAAATATCACTTTCTAGCCATGGCTTTTTCATTTAGTGTTTCTCTTTTCCTCAATGATTACACTTTATGATATATAATGATAACTTCAATTAAATAAGGTCAAAACTGAAATTATATTACACACATCAGGGGTTTTTTTGTATTTAAAGATAAAACTTCAAAAGGGTCTCCTGAAGAACATTTTTTTTATAAGGCTGAATTCATTTTCAGAAAGTAACAACAAAAGAAAACTCTAGGAAAACAAAGTTATATTTCTGGATTAAAGGTATATAAATAGATGTTTTTAGTCTTACATGCTCAAAATAGATCATATACATCCCTGTTCTCCCATGTACATTAAGGGACATTCTGGAATTAAAAGTACTTGGTAATTTTTTAAAGAACATCAACTTTACAGCAGCAGTTGAAAGGAATACTTTCTGTTCAAAAACATAAAGTTTAAAGTACACCCTCTTCTGGCATAAATGAAGAATACAATACTCCAAAATTAAACTATAAAGTTCCAGAAATGTGAGCCATACTTGACTTATTTTCACATTTCCCTTTTAAATGAGTTTAAATCTAGTGTTGTATTATATGCAACGGCAGTAAGGAGAATAAATGTTGTCTCTAGCCACATTTCAATCAAAGACAAAAATAAAGTTGAGAACTAAGTAGCTATTAAGTTAAAAGTTTTATGTAATAAAATGTTCATGGCATAACAGAAACGACAGCAAAATCTGCTTACATGTCTGAAAAATAAATTTAACATAAAGTGATACTTTCCGTACCATAAAATATTATACTTTTAAGTAGTACTGTACCTACAAAGGAAAAAAAAGGTTACTCTTTTATTATATATAGCCTTTTAAGTATACATTTTCAGTAAAGAGAAATGTGAAATGATTGACATTTACACGTAATTTCTTGAGTAAGCATGTTTCCAAGTTGACAAATTTTTACTCCATATTTACCAGTATTTTGCCTGCAAAAGGAGTAACTGTTGTAAATTTAGGCTCAGAAAATATAATTAGAGAAAAGAGATTAAAATTTCATCTAATTTTTAGTTATGAAAAAAATTCCAAGTTCAAACAAGTCTAAAACCCTTAATATAAGCTGCTAATTCAAGGTGAACTTTTTCCAATGCTTTTGTTAATGTCATTAAAATAGACATTTAAATTAAACCATAGGCACATTATTGTTACTACAGTGTTCATCATTCTCTTTATTTTACTACTCCTAATATTTTTAACCTAGACGTTCACAAATATCTAGCCTGTGTTGCGTAGTACAGTCTCCCAACCACATGTGACTATTTACATTTAAATTAATTAAAATTGAATGAAATTTAAAATTCAATTCTTTAGTCAAACTAGCCACATTTCAAGTGTTCTATATCTAAACAACACAGATACAGACTGCCTACATCACTGCAAAAAGTTCTACTAGATAATCAGTGATGCTCTAGACCTACGTGTTCCGAAGTGAGACTCACGCATCCTAACGAGTGCACATCCATTGAAGTGTGGGAGGGAAACACTAGTTTCTATTCAATTCTTAGTGAGAAAGAAATTAAACTTTCCTAATATTTCATATCCAGAGCAACAAGGGCACCCTCACCCAGTCCACATGATATACAGGTCACAAGGCATCTTTACGGAATTTGGGGAGTTCTACATCCAAAGGGTATCAACATGGCACCCTCATTGGTTTCTTTGCTTTCAATGTGCTGTGACAAACTGCCTTTTACTTGTGTGCAGTTAAATGGATATATAGATTATATTATCTAGTTTTAATCATTAATGCTCACAAATGGACAAGTAGGTTTAGAAGATTCTGCCAAAGAAACACAAATTGAAGATAATACCAACGATACAAACACAGCGTAGGAATAGGACCAGTTTTGCTGATCTCCTATATCTGGTTGACCATGAGAACAAAAAACGAGAATTCGTGGGAGGAACACCTGCCCCCAACTCCTGATGTTTCCTTGCAAGCAGCAAGTTTACTTATTTAATTACTCCAACTCCTGGCCTCTCCATCCCTTTTAGTGGATTAAACAGTGTCCCCCCCCCAAAAAAAAGACAGATCTACCTGGAACCTATAAATGTAACCTTATATGGGAAAAGTGACTTTGCATACATAATTAAGGTCAAGATCTAGAGAGGAGATCATCCTGGATTAGGATAGGTCTGAAATCCGATGACGAGTGTCCTTATAAAAGAGAAGGGGAAATAAACACAAAGAGACAGGGTATAAAGCCCACGTGAAGATGGAGGCAGAAATTGGAGTTACACATCTACAAGCCAAGGAACAACAAAGACTGCTCACAGCTACCAGAAGCCAGGAGAGAGTCATGAAACAGATTCTCCTTCAGAGCCTCCAAAGGAAGCAACCCTGCTAATACCTTGATTTTAGACTTCTGGCCTACAGAACTGTAAAGGAATAAATTTCTGTTGTTTTATGCCACCATGTTCATGATAATTTGTTATAGCAGCCTCAGGAAACTAACACATGCACTTATGGAATGACTTATCTGATCGGGAAGAATATACTGTACATACTGGGCTCATCTTTACCCTTCCTTTTCTTTGGATCCAGGTAGAGACCCTGAGGGAGGTGGTATCTACCCAACTTCCCCACTGGACTGGCACTGCCATAAGTGAGTGTACAAGTCTGCCTGGTTTGTTGTTCAGTTAATGGATCCATTTGGCTCTCCCACTAAACCACATTTTCCAAATTAATTTTTATCAATAGTAAGGTCAATATTTTGGCCCATATGTGCCACTCCTTTACTTCTCAACTGCTTTAAAACCAAAGTAGAAAAGGAGGTACTATTTAGTAGACTCTCCTTAGAAATTCCCAAATTATACATAGTTTTTTGATAGTCCCTTCTCAATTTGAATCATCAAGCCTTAAGATTGGTGATTCTACAATTCAGAAATATTCTACAAGTAAACCAGCAGATATAATGAATTTTTTCATTATGTTTACAATGTTCAGTTTATTATACTCTGTAGTCAAAAAATAGGGAAGTATTAGGCCTAAATAAAACACAAATAGTAGAATAAAATGCTATGATTCTAAGATCCTAAATCCTAACTTCATCCCTGAATCCAAACTCATCCCCAAAACTGGATGAGAATTATTTCAAACTATTTGTTCAACTCTTGTTAAGGGCAACCTCAAAGTAAAAAAAGTATCAATTTAAATGAAAATAATAAAAAACAAAGATTAATCTTTGACCACCCAGGATTTCTTTAATGTCTGATTTTCTCTTTCAAATGAGTCATAAGGAACGAGTAAAAGAAATTATTGTAAAAAATTTAATTAATTAGGTAAGAAGAATTTATCATGGATTCTCCAGGTAAAAATCTGTAATTCTATTAAATAATATCAAGTATTTGCCAGAAACATTCTCTGAGACCAAAAAAATTCGTCCAGGCTTCATTCCTTCCTCTCCTTAGGTAGATGGACACCTCTGTCATCTGAAATCCTAACTAGTCATATTAACTGATATGGAATACCAGATTTAAATGGCTGTATTATTTTATTAATTTACTGATCATATTAAATTAACACGCTTGTTTACAATCAGACTCTCCAAAGTTTGGATGACATGCAACTAGTTATCTATAGTGATCACACCTAGATAAACAGTTAAAATGAGTTTTCTTTAGGACTCTACAAACCATCTAAATTTAGACATTCTGTGATACTATGAAATATCTGCCAGCCATTTTATAATCTTATCAATTTCCTTGAGAAATAAATTTCTCAATGTAGACCTAAAAACATAGGCATCACATTCTCCATCAGCCTGGAAACAGGACCATATACTCAGAAGGAATCTATGAGTCTGATTAAGTTCTGATCAAGCTTCCATCATTATTGCAAAGCGGGTTAAAATTAAGAGAATAAAAAAGTTTTATCCTCCACAGTCCTTTTAAGTACTTAAAATCACAATTCATTTCTTTCTTTACTCTATCACTACTTCCAACGGCATTTCCAGTGGTTTCAGTAGAGATTTCCTAGAGTTCATTTTTTTATCCATTTATTTATATCAAGAGAAGTTTTTTGCTGGACTAGTCACATCTCTACATGAGGATCCAAGCAGCTGGGCAACAATCCAAGAAAGCTGCCTTGGAAGAAGAAACGGTGGTTCTGTCTACAGCTGCATTAAAGGCCTGAAAGACAAGCTTTTATGATGCCCTCTTTCTTACCTACTTTGCTCTGTCAAAACAACTCAATATCATTTTAACAAAAGTTGATATTAATAAACATGGGGTGGGGCAGGAAGAGATCAGGAAAAAAAAATATGATTTGTCACACCCTATACCAGCATCAAGACTCAAGAAAACTGGAATAAAAGAGAAATGTTTACACAACAATAGAAATTTCAGAACATTCCCCATGTCATCCATGCAGGCATCTCTGGTAAGCCTCAATGTGGAGGATATTTTCGTCCAGAGAAGATCTGTTTGCTTCTGGTAGTAATTATATCACAACTGAGAGCCTCAGCTTTGGGCTAATGGAAAAGTACCAAAGTTAACCTTAGCCAGAACCTTAACTCACTGTAAGTTAGTAGCACCCCTACTAGCTCCACACATCCCTCCTAGAAAAAAACATTCCTGATTCGGGTGCCCAGGATTCCCATGCAGAAAGATCAAGAAACATAAAATCACAAGAAAATATCATGAGACTCACAAGGAAACAGGTCACAAAGCATAAGAATCATAAAAAAATTATTAAAACAATATTTTAAGCCTCTAACGAGTTGAGAATTTGAAATTAGCAAGCACAAACTATAAACTAATAAGTTTAATCTAGAGACATTATATGGAACTGTGAACCTAATAACTAGGGAATAAATATTCTTCTCAAGCAAACATGCAACATTTACAAACACATATCAAGTCATAATGTAAGCCTCTACAAAATTTCAAATTCAGCTAACATTCAGTCTAAATTCTCTGATCACAATATAACTAAATTAGAAATC